AGGTCACAAATCACTCTCAATAATTAAAATGCATTATCATTACTTTTTGACTATTAGTCTGCTATCACATAACTGAATTAGACATGAGCAAAGCTCTAATGTGCCTCCACAGCAATCTTTTCCTGTACACTAAAACCGGCAGACCTCAGCTACATTTCTCAGCCAGGAGCTAATGTTTCTGGGTACATGTTACTGTTTCATTTGTCAGTAAAGCCTTATTTACTGGCTTCCTGTTATTAATTATGGGAAACAGGATCTCTTCAAACTGTAGGAGAGGCTCTTTTAACTCCTGTCTAGACTTTTCAAGACAAAATATTGATGAGCCCTTTAATGTTTGTGCAGTGACACAATCTGAGCAAAAAAACCCCATCGTTACCTCAAACAGCTTAAGGCGCCTTATCACACATTCAGAAAAAAAAAAAAATCCTTTAAATCACTCGGGCTCACATCCTTATTGTTAGTCACTGAAGTAAGGTTTTCTTTCATAGTTGGATACTTTCTTCATCTGTCACACTGATTAATTAACAGCTCACAGTATGAGCCCTGAGCTTAAATAGCCTACTCAAACGAGGAGGACAGATCAGTGTTAATATTCCATAAAAAGCTGAAGAGGAAAAATGCTTTCCTTAGTATGAAGGGATCTGTCTTCTAATAATCAAAAAATTAACTAATTTCTGTTTGATTACATTACCTGAGGAGATAAAAGCATCCAGCTTGCGAAGGGAGATTGGAGGAAAGGATTAGGACGAAAGTTAGAGAAGACTTAAGCATTTTTAATTAAACTGTTGGTTGGAAACAACCAAGTCTTGAACACCACTGAAATTATTTTCATCATCATTAAGAAAAGCCAGTTTATCAACACATAATGAGCAAATCTATAAAAACACAGTACCATTGCCTGTAAAGATCTATGGGGAGAAGGCATGCAATTACATGAAATGGAGAGTTGCTAAAACCTTAAAACTAAAGCTGGTTTCAGCCAAAGCGTTTGTTGCTTCTCTCACACACACCTCTTTCCCAAACTGTTACAGTCTGGCAATTATTTCAGGAGTTTGACTTTCAACAACTGCAAGTTCTCCCCCTTTTTTAAGCCCCTCCAGTACTGCTGAGTGGGCAAAAATTACAGATGCAAGAAAAGCTGACAAATGAGTGTAAGGCCCCTCCTCTCCAGTGCCTCGACAGTCAGAGCCCCTGCCAAAACATGCCTGAAAGCTAGTGAGGAGACAAAGACACAAAGATTCCATTTTTTCAGGGAAAATAGATTTCATGTAGAAACTACTAGGGAGAAGAATTGCACAATAGCACATGTGTAATCTCAAAAGCAGAGCAGGAATAAACGTTTCAAGAAAAAGTGAAATTATATTTGCTTATTGAATAAGCTCAATAAATGCTATTTAACATATGGCTATTTTAAACTGCAAAGTTTAAAACTTACCCTCCAGGGGGTAGGAGAGGGAAAGCTCCCATAAAGTCAGAAAAACATTTTCAGTCACGGAGAACCTTCAGTTTAACATGATCCAAGCTAAGAGTTCACGGCTATTGCTCTAAATCATCTCCTGATAATGCCTCAGTACACAACCAAAACAAAGTAAATCCAGCTTTTTAGCTCAAATCTGTGACTATGTTTATTACTAAAAGATGCTTCCCCCAGGGTGTCATTTAATAAAGTTGCAATGAGTTTAAAAGCCTGGCACCTAGGTACATCCATGTTTTCAGGCTTTTCATAACAAGTTTAATACTTTCATGACTGGCACTCCTCACTGAGCTGGAACAGGTCTGCCTCTGAGCAGGATGAGCAGCAGCTAGGTGAATGTAGGCAGGCAGAACTTTGAAAAAGCAACAGGATTTCTCTTTGAAACTAGTCAAAGCTGGGGGAAAGTCCAATTTATGGTGGGAAGATTTGGGACAACTCAAGATTCTCACTAATTTAAAAATAAAAAGGATATTCACAACAGCATCTAAGATTAGAGACTATTGCTTTAAGTGTGATTCCAGTCCTCTAGGACTCAATGGCAAAAGACCCTATTGTTAAAAATAATGTAAGCTCGCACCAGACCGGCAGTTTAGGAAGTAGAGGTGTAAAAAGGAGTTTTAGTCATCAGAAAGGTTTTCAAAATGCTTCCATCTCTGATAATTAGTGCTCATCAACATGTGGCATTCTTAAAAACTCTCTGCTTGTAATACACCTTTTCTTTGTCTTATGGGAGAATGCTTCTACAGAGGCACTCAAATTCAGCCAAAGTCTTCCAGTCTTTCAGCAGAACACAAATGCAGTATAAACAGAACATAGAAAATGTTATATAATAAACATTCTAAAAATATGATAAATGCCCTGAATAGACAGGTTTGTGATTGAGGATAAACTGCTGAGAGCACTCTAAGACCCCCAAGGGCCCTCTGCCTTACAGGAAGAACAATGTTCAGAGAGCTCAGCTTTCTGCTGGGCTCACCCTCACCTAATCCTCATGTTCCTCTTCCTTCAGCCCATGAGAATGTGGCACATTTCTGACTGAACCCAGGTGCTACCTCTCTTCCCTTCTGTCTGCTCCTGAAGACTGCTCTGCCAAAAGACTTAAGAAAGAAAGGACTGGTAATCCTTTGACTAACTAATAAATCCCCTTCAGGATATCAGCACTGATTGTTACACAGGGATTGGGGATAGTCCAGAACTATTTATAAAAAAAAGAAAAACCAAACCGAAACCCAATACTATTCTCCACATCACACCTGGGGTGAAGTACCAAGAACATCAGAAAACTTGAACACTTCCCATTTAATTACAAATCCAGATTTATTTTTCATGAAATTTCCTTACATTCCTTTGGCTGATCCCACTACAGTCCCGCTTGCTAAGTCTAGGCATATTCTAACATTTCATAGCCAGTATCTAAATTGCTTTGGAGTTTTTTATGCATTTTACCATCCAACCATCACTCAGCTCCTCCTAAATGCATAGCTGTGTCCATTTGGTCTCCGTTCTCAACCAGACCAGATCACCATTACATTTTCATTTTGCTAGTACAAAGAGATCCTGGATGTTTTCTTAACTGCAGAGATGAAAAAAAGTCTGCATCTCCTGGACTGATATACCTACTGACACATTCTCCTTACTTCAAATTTCCTAAACTGAATCCCAAACTCTTCCTCTACCCCACCTACCGTGAAAGTAGAACTGCTACTTGTACACATAGATCAAGAGTAATATGACTGCCTGATTTCAATGAATAATCCAAGGCAAAAGGAGATTTAGTTCTGAGGTTAAATTCTAGAATTGCTAACAGCAGAGATATATGAAAAAAAAATTTAAAAAAAATAAAAAGGCTGCAGTTAATTACTAGGTAAGAGAAACAGTAGAGAATGAAATAAGATTTATGAACAGTTACAAACATGCTTTATCTTATACAGCTGGTAAATTCATTCTTCTGAGTATCATTACAAAGTAATCTTTACAGAGAAAACTCAAGTTAGATTACAGAAAAAGTGCAGCAGTAGAAAATATTATCACTCGATTTCACATATGTTCTGTCACTCACCTAACACTATTCCTATCTAAATACTTTTAAAGATTACTTGAAAATCAAATGTTAGCATTATTTCAACCTGTGGAAGCTGTTGAAAGTCAACATGAAATCTTGCATCTGTGTCTAATGTCTGTCGTTGCAACTGAGCTCATTTTAATGGCTGCATGTCCAGGCAGTGTGTGGCACAGGGCTTGAAAAGGAAGGAGACTTATGTTTTACTTGGCACTGGTACAGCATAGGTCTTTAGCATGAAATTTATTAGCATTAATGGGCATTGTGTAATTAAAGCACTGTGCTTTAATGCCCTGAGGGATGATGGGGCTTTTTTCATATCCTATAAAATAGACAAAGAAAAAAATGTGAGACTTTTCAAAGCTAGTCAAAGAATTCAAACGTGCATGTTCCTCTATTAATCATAATAGAGAAGGCATAGCTGAACAAGATGGATCCCAAATTCTCAAAATGTCTTCCATGAAACCACAAGATGGTTAATACTAAACACCAGGCTTTTTGAGAAGATGCTATGTAATGACAGTATTTTGCAAGGCCGCAAGTTCTTCAAAAAGTAACCATTATACCACTGAAAAGTATAGATTTGAAAAAAATATTTTTAGATCTAATGTACCACACTTACTTGGGACTAAACTTGTTTAAAGGAGTCCAGTTTAATAAAGTGGCTTTGAGAAACTATTCAAATATTTGTTACTTGAGCTCTTGCATTTTCTTTCCTGAATGCGAAGAATTTAGAAGGCTTTGAAAATCCCATCACCTAACCCACTGCACTTCAGGGACGGGAGGAGGCGTTTATGTATTTCGTCATGTGCTTTTGAATATCACAGGCTGAAGCTGGAATAATATTCAGAGCTACTAAAAAAGTGCAGTGGTGGTGCAGGTTTCATTAGGATTGGTGCATGTCAGCAGTAAAGATCAGACTATTACTTAGACCTGCATTTCTAAGTAGTTAAGCAGGATTAGTTTTCTATAAGAAAAAAATAATTCAGAATTACACTATGGAAAAAAACCAACACACACAGGTCTAGTATTTGATTTTCCAGAAACTGATCTTGCCAACACTTATCTGTAGGACTGAAAAATAATCCTGGAGTTCATTTTCTGGCAATTTTTTATTGCTTTATATGTTTGAATGAGCCTACATGAACAGCAGATCAGAACAGCATGGAAATAATACCACTGATGTAACTATGATGTTTAAACTATTGAAAATATAAGGCTTATTGACAGTATTGTGTCACATCTTAATATTATGAATAATCTAATTTCACTTAGAACTAGATTGAAGCAAAACTTATTTTATCTGAAAATCTGAAGAAAAAGTTCCTACAGATTGTACAAAACCACTAAGACCTTCACAGTGACACTAGGAATTTTTCCCTGGGGAATGTCAAGATCAATTACTGGCTGATCTATTGGACATATCCTAAATTATCAAACAAAATTCTTTATTTCTTTGTCTTCTAGACAAATCACCACAGAGCTGCAGACCAGCAACGAAGGGAGCTGAGGGCAATTTGACCAACATCATCTGTGTCGGTTCCCCAGATGTCAATGAAACACGTAATCGGGTCTCCAAGGTACATCCCAGAGATTAGCTGCTGTGCCATTCAATAAGTAAATGATTAAAACAAGATGTTTTCTTTGATTACATTAAGATACTGGCAGCAGGGAGGGCTATTACCTTCCATTGAAGAGTCTACCTTCCCAAATTATGTTGTTTATTAACGCATCATTAACAATGTGCCACCTCAGCCAAATGATCAGTGGTCTTGGGTACAAAGTAAAGATCATTACAGAACTCCACCACCTGCCTCATTTGAGCAAATCAAGTAAGTACATCTGAATCACCAATTGCACAAAAATATTCAAATGCTAGTTTTCAGCTTTGTGCCCTTTTTGCTGAGCCCATAAGCCTTCTTTTGAGGAATCAACAAAACCATGTAGACATAAACAGAGAAGTTCTTGAAACGAAATATTTTTTTTTTTTTTTCAAAAGAACAGGACCTCAGGTAAATGATGCCTTTTAATACAGCACATGAAAATTTCAATTATGGAAATCATTATTCTAGGCACTATGTGCCATTTTATATTCCCAGCAGGATGTTTTTCATCTCATCAAGAGTTTCCAAGGCTGTTTAGTGCTCCTGTATATGCAAAACACATTTAAGGGCCCCTAAGAAGATCTGTTAATTAAAAAGCCCAGTCAAGTGGTCAGACAGACTGGAACTTGAGGATTATAGGTAAAGAGGGATGAAATGAAGGCTTGGAAATTATAATTTTTCTTTCTGTGGTAGCAGCCAAAGCAGCTGTTATAAACTGGGCAAATTAAAGATGTGGCTGACTAAGCCAGCAGTCTGGAAACAAGACATTGCAAAAGCATAACAGCAAGTCATCAGCACCCCACTTTTAAAAAGCCAAAAGTGCTGACCATTTCTTTTTTACTCTCTCTTCCTGTTATTCTGATCTGTCACAACTATCCTCCAGCTGTTACCCTTCCAGCCCCTGTTCACCAGTTCTAGTTTCCCACCCCCATCTTAGGGAGTTAGTAGTAATTCCCAAGACTGTGGACAACTGCTCCATAGTGGGAGTAGTCAGCAAACAAGAAAGGACATGTTCAAAAGAAGAGCAGGTGAAATAACAGAGTTGAAAGAGTTGAAGTTCTTTTCTTTTTTTTTTTTTTTTTCCCATATATGAGAGTTGTTCATGTGAAAACAATCTTCTCATGCTGAACAATATTTATCATTCCTTGAGAGCTGTTTCATCTGCCCAATACAGTCAGCATCTAGGTACAGAAAGGTCTCCAATTAAAAAAGCCAGATTGCCACCTCACTTTCCAGACACATTTCTTAAGTGTCTTGTAATTGACTATATTCAGGGGAAAAACCCCAAACAATCCAATCATTTTTCTTTCTACATTTTCTAGTCTGTTTTCACAAATACTTGTAAAAGGGCTAAAAATAGTTTTACTACGAGTTAATGGGGGTATACATGTTTTCTCATATCAGAACATAATGAAGGATTTATGAATTACTGCATAAATAAGTTACTTAAAGACCCCGAAAACCATCCCAGAACAACCCTTTGTCTTTTCTCAACAGCAGATATGGAGTTCCTCTTAGAAGCAGAAGAAACATTAGTTGCTTTGTATAGACAGCTTTTAGGTCAGTTTTGTCAAGCTAGAATTTATCTCAATTTCTATTAACGTAAACCTGTGGCCTATTTTTGATCTCATTTTAGACATCATGAATTAATACCTCCCAATCTGTTTCCTCTATGTTTATTTGTATTCAAGACAAACTCATCATTTCAGATTTGTGGTAGATGAATTTTTAAGTGTTGCCATTTCAATACTACACTAACGATGCTGTTAATAATACTGCTGCATTGAAATACTGCATCTGATTTGAGGCACACTCAAGCCCTTTGCAAACAATTATTCATTAAATACATTTGAAAACTGTTCATGAGATTCATACCATAAATCTTTAACAGACACAAAATTGATACAGGCAAGCTGAGTACTCCATTCTTTATCAGAAATTAGTTTTAGGTGGCATGGGGCCTTTGTCTGATGCCTTTACCTGAAAAAAAATCAATTGCCATTTTGCATTTTCATACCAGTCTAAGAGCATGAGAGAACAGAAAAAGAATTCTAAAGGTTAAACCCCATATTCAGTACAGTCTCTCCCCCGCCCCTCTGTTACAGCGGGTATTTGAGGAGGTTCTTTACATCTCCTCCCACACAGTTTCTCTGCTTCATAAGCAGAAAGCAGCTGCTGGTTCTTTCAAGTCTAGCGGTTAGTTGACATTTACCAATAGTTTATGGTTTTCATTCTACCTTAGCAAGGAAAAGAGCTAGAATACCAGTTTTAAAGAGTGAGTACTAAATCTTTATATTTCTAATTTCCTCACACCCCACACCCCTCACCCCCAAACTGGAGGGGCCTGCAGCCAACAGTTTTGGTGGGACTTAAGGAAGGGACAAAAACAATGCTGTGAACCAGCACAGAGAATAGGGGCATGGGTCCTGGGTTTACAGTTAAAATTCTTGCCCCTGGAAAACCACCTCAATGCAACTCTTGGCCAGTAGTGATGGTTTAATTATTTCCCTTCCAACCCCACTTTCTAAAAAACTGCTGTGTACAGTTGTTCACATATCTGACTTGACAAACTTGGCAGCATTATTTAGAAACTGCCATAAAAATAAAGAAAAAATATTGCATATATACCTATGATATGATGCTTTGATGGTAGAGATGGGAGGAATGAGAAAGGTCTACAATACATCACACAAAACACTATTTTCCAGAGCAGGGAGAAAAAAACTCAGCTGAAACATACAAATAAAGATGTTATGTCCTGCAAACACTGCCTACTTAGCACACTCATGTGAAAGGCTACCTCCCACAGTTTCACTCCCTTGTCCAGGCACAAACAGACACAGGCTATGACACAGTCCTTACGTCTGACCTCATTCCCAGATAAATGCACTGATATGACTCTATTTAATGTTTATCTTCCTGAAATTTCTCTTGAAAATTATGAAAATTATAATATGTTAAATACATGAAATTATTATATCAAAATACAGATGAAAAATAGCACTGTCCTGGGCACTATTTCAACAGTGGGATACTCTTGCTAAAATTATATTCAGATTTGCAGGTATTTTGAAACAGTAATAAACAAAATGTAGTCAGAGATATCTCTTTTAGAGTAAGTTTATTCACATGGGAATCAGGAAAACAGAGGTGATCTGATAAGCAAAATTCCCCTTAAGTCAGGAGGAAAAAATGCCATACTTGTAGTTGCAGCCTGCTAAATCCTCCAGTAAACCTAAACTCAGGAGTCAGCTGGTCATACTGTGTTTATTTCATAGACTTTTTCAGAGTCCATCTGTATCCAGAGTACAAAAGCCTTTTATCTGATGATATTTACTAACAAAGAGTTTTAAAGAGGTAACATTAACAGAATCGCTGTAGATACAAAAAGGAACATGGAACTTGCAATTACTGGATGGCTCCAAACTTTTCCTAATGTGTTTAAAACTTTACAAAAGTAAACCATCCCAGACAGCTCAGCACAAAGACAGTGTAAGAAAGTGCCATACTGATTTTCTCCAGGTGTAGGTCAGGACATTTGAAGATATCTATGACTGAACATTGTTTCTTCATCCTGAATCAAGGCTTCCGTGACTGAACATCATAGAGGCAGTTACAAAAGTCATACTGGTGCTCAACATCTGCAGGAACTCAATAGTGCAGCAGTTTGCTGCACACATGTTAAACATGCAGCACTAAAAATTATAAAAACAGGCCAAAGCAAAATGAAAAAGTACTTGAAATTAAGAATTTCACATCAGTAACAGGAAGAAAATGTGGAGACCACCTTTTCTGCAGGCCAGCAAAAAAGCATTGCTTTCTTTTATCATGTATTGCACTTACAGGGCACTAGATTTTTCTAAACAGCAACCAAAACATGCTTTCAAGTCCTCCCAACAAACATCTGAATGACACAGCAGACTGAAATATTTCAAAGAGATCAAACATACACCAATGACTACCTCTTGTTCCCCTGAATTAAAAGCTTATCTGCAAAGCAGAATCTAATTAAAAATTATCTTTTCTTTAAAGAATAAAGGAGAAAAACACCAGTCTTTAAGCAAGGAGGAGACTCAGCTGGAGATGGACTGCAGTGTCCGTTTCTTTTTGCAAAGTAAAGATTCAGAAGCGCATTCAAAACCACGTTTAAGTGGTAAACGTAGAAACATGAAGTACTAAAAATGAGGACCACTTTTCCCCCAGTGATTGTAGATTTAGGGAAAATCAGATATACCTGTATTTTAGTACATAGAAAAAAGATCTGTAGTATCTTATCACATATGCTTTTAGACAGACATTTGACTGATTTCAATTAGCATTAGTACTTCAAAAGAGATGATGTAATAGTCAGAGCAGCTAAGATTTTTTTCATGTTTTTGTATGAATGGAAAAGGGTTCCAGACACATTAGACTGATTATTTTATATTCTTACATAGAAAGTCACTGTGGCTTTATGAAGAGGGTTTTTTCCCCTCAAACTTGTTTACTTCTGTGTGGTTTTGAATTTTTTGAAGAAGGCCTCACATTTTCAATATTAGTTCTAGTTTTTCACTATGTATAAATAAAGTAAAATAAGTACATGTACAAGTGCACAGACAGCAAGGGGTTTCTTTGCAATACTCAGTGGAAGAAACACAAGATTTTTTCAAGGCTCCAGAGCTCTTCAGCCACAGCATCCTCCTTGCATATGCATACCGTTGTTTTAATTTCATTAGTAAGAGGAAACTATATCAGTATTATACTTTTTTCTTTACTAGACAACATGAACAATGTATCTATGCATCACTGTTAAGACTGAGCAGAAAATAATCCTTTCTCAGAGAGATAAAAAGATTTTTGAATTTTTATTATTAGACTAAAAAGAGGTATGTCTAAGTTATTTTAATTTTCCTTTGGGAAAAGGAGCTTATCATAAAAGAAAGAGGAGGAGAAAAAGTAGGCAGACCGAAGATAGTCTGATCATTAAGACTTTCACACAAAGTATCAGAAACCCAGGTTTCCAGGCCCTTCTCCAACAACAGCAGAGCTCTGACATTCCGAAGGCACACCAAGACACCAGGCCATCAACCCTTCTATGGCAGCAAGGGGGATTTTTAACCTTTCCTCACACAAAAGGCCTTCCCAGAAAAGCTTCCATTGAAATAGGCATTTCTTCAAAACCTCCTGCATTTTCCCCACAAAGGAAAAAAAGATTCAGTTTTCAACCAGATGTAGTTACAGTTTTTCATAGAACTGCAATTGCAGGGAAAAACTAACAGAATGAGAAAAAAAAAAAAACAATTTCTTCTATAAAGTTCTAGTAATACCTTTAATCATATTACAAGCTTAATGCATTACATTATTTTTTTTAATTAACACAGTTGGACTTTTAGATCAAACAGAGAAGAGAAAAAAGATTGTGATCCAACAAAAGCATGTTATAAAAACACTGCTGTTCAAAACAGGTCAAGTATTTTCTTGTGCTTGAAGACTAACAAAGGGGTTTTTCCTTAAGGCAGTCATTAGGTGTTTTGTCTTTATTTTTGTTACTTTTTTTTTAATGGTAAGATATACTTTCACCCCTCTATTAAATAAACTCCAATCTATTCCTGTGAATAGCAATTTTCTTAAGACACTTTTTTTTTGCGATTAGTTGTGATAGGATTGCTTTCTCTCATGTTTGCATTTTGCAGACCACAAGCCTCAGAAGATCACTGTGGAAGAAACACACTGGGCCAACCCATCCTGTTGATATGACACAAAGTGCAGCCCAGTTTGGTATTCTTTAAACTCTGAAGGAGTCTCACACCAGGTAGTAGAAGCTCACTTCTTTCTTTGCTGTTGAATGACCACCTATTTTTTCCCCAGAATTCCCCCCACCTTAGGCAAAATTTACATTTTAATATTCTGGAGAACCTTTAAATTGCTGCTGTCCAAGGACCATAATAAAATGTGGGGCTGGTTCTTGTGACCCCTACACCTCCCTTTCTCACAGGGCCAAGGAAAGTCCATTAGAAATGACAGGGCATGCAGAATGCAGGAGAGGGCTAATTGAGTTTAAAAGCTGTGTAGCTGCAGCGTCATTTAGGAAATGCCTCCAGGCTTGCTCAGGAGTTTAGTAATAAACCTAGACCACAAAGCAAACTGAATGTTCAACTCTACATGCCCAGAAGGTAGAGAAGATCCTTTTCTCCATACTCTTAAGCCCATGTTCTTAGGCCCTCCAATCTTTCTCCCACAAAGTAGGATTTCAGGAATCATCTTCATTTTTCTTATCCTGAAGGCAGAACTGCATACTGTTAACAGTTTCCATAATCTTGATTACAAATTTTTATTACAATAAAACATTGGTATCATCATGTGAAATCAATAATCTGTCTTGCTAAATCTTGTTAAAAAAAGTAATTTTCAGTCTAAGCCAATTAGGAAAATAGTAATGGCCAGAGAGAGTTTCAGAACAGAAAAAAAATCACATTTTATCTTTTCTACTACAAGTGGCAACCATAGTTGGTTGACATGTGAGATTTCTGGCCTAACCAACTGATCACTAAGGCATTTAAATTATCTGTAAAGATGATTTAAAATGGGATAACCCACAATCAGAATATCCACAGTATTTAATGGAGCTATTAAGTGTGCAAGGAGCCTGGGATCAGCACCCAACCCAGTCACAAACACATTCAAGAAATTTGAACAGATGCATATTTGACCATAGTAGGACATATTCTGAAATAACAAAAATATGGGCCCAATCACAACTAAAGTTGTTCTCACATGCTTTGTTTTTACTGACTACAAGCTTTATTAAGCTTTTAGTGTCCAGTAGAAACAGCTCCACGAAACAGTGGGAGAAACACTGAAACTGAGTATCTAGAAACTCTTACATAGATAGGTTTATACACAAACTGCAGTCATGACTAAAGTAGTGTTTGACTAAATCATGATTAAAGTGGAGGGTCTGGAGCCCAAGTCTATCCAGGAATAACTGAGGGAACTGGGATTATGAAGTCTGGAGCCTCAGGGGAGAATTTATCACTCTCTATAACTACCCCACAGGAAGCTGCAGCAGAGCATGTCTGAGTGCCAAGTAACAAGTGATAGGATAAGAGAAAATGGCCTCAAGTTGCACCAGGGGCCATTTAGATTTTATATTAAGAAAAAATTCTCCACCAAAAAGCCTGTCAAGCATTGGAAAAGGGCTCCCAGAGAAGTTATGAAGTCACCATCCCTGGAGGTGCTTAAAAGACATGTACACATGGTGCTCTGAGACAAGATTTAAGTAGTGTACATGGCAGTGTTAGGCTTGCTGTTGGACACAATGATGTCACGTGCCTTTTCCAATCTGAACTATTAAATGAATGACAGGTTCAAATCACTGGCTATGTTACCATGTACTCTGCTTTAGATGATGGCTAATTCCTTCCTTACATGATACTTAAAGAAATGTCATTGTTATAGTCTCAAATCCAAGTGATTCTTGCAATCACCTGGGCCATATGAATGAATTTAAAGACTGAAATCCATAATATAGTTTCCTTTCTAATGAATACACTCATTCCTACAGCCACAATGAAAGTATTTCTACAGATAAAGCATTATCAGAAAGCCAAATTTTATCCTTGCTGTCCAACAATCACGGCACCACTCCATACAGCAAAACAGGAACATCTGGAATTCTGCTCTTGTGAGGGCAGCTGGGACTGCACTGCTACATCAGGAAATGAACTGTGCTCAGGTTATAAAACATACTTGGGACTGTTCACAGAAAACTATCCTGGTACTGAAGAAATTACTTGTGTACAAGGCACTTATTAGGAAAAATTTGTTGAAGTGCATCGTATGTTTTTTCTGACAGAAAAAACAATTTTTCTGAACAGAAAAATTATGCAGATTTACTCTATATTTAAATCCCATTGAGCATGAATAGTTCCCTTTCATTTCAGAAATTATTTCCCTTATAAGTATTAATTATAAGTAGAAAAATTGTGTGATAACTAAAACTGATTTTACCAAACCTGCCTCCTTAAGGAGGAGTTTTTTCACTAACTCATATTTTGATCTAACTAAAAACAAGTTTGGGTAAATGCTAGCTTTTACTGCTCTCAAATTCTGCTTTGGTTTCATGTTACTCCTGAGAGTTTGTGGCAACAAGTGCAAGACAAATTTTTAACTTCTCTTCAGACAAAATTGAAGAGTACTGATTGCAGTAGCCAGGAATAGTGGCCTATGTAAAACCTTTCTTTACTAATATTATTGAGTGGGGTGGTTTGAAGTGGCTTGGTTTTTGGTTAAGGGAAAATCCAAGCAGGCCAGGCCAGTGCACAACCCACTGCATTGAGAAAGAAATAAAGACAATTGCTTTCAGTTGGCCAGTCATACCATTTTGTACTGATTGTTCTGATTTTATTGATTGTTCTGATCAAGATTCCTTCCAAGATCAAAACATTAATTAAATTCCTTTTTTGCACATATTGGCATCAGTATTTTGGAAGAACTCGACTTGTTCTATGAATGCACAGGTTTAGTAGAAAGCCATTTTGATGATGGCAGATTTGAAAGACCCTGTTTCTATACACTTGAGACATTAGGGAAAAAAAAAAGCTTAATAAACTACTATTGCTAAGATCCAAAGTTTCTAAGTTAATACAAAATGATGAAGAATAAATTCATTATTCTTCTTCAATTCTATTTACCTTCAGTATTAAGTAGATCCATGCCTACTTCATACACTTTGAATTTTAGGTAGGATTTGTTTTTAAGTGAGAAAGAAAGGCATACCTAAATACCCATATTTACCACTCTTCAAATTTGAGATTTGTACTATAAAGAGAAACAATTTTCCTGAAACTCCATACCTATCCCTTTAGCAACTTTTAATATTTCATTATAGTTCATGGAATGTAAGTAGGTTTTAAGTTTTGTTAACACTGCATGAATATTTTGACAAGAGTCCATCCACTTAGCCAAAATTGGAAACAACTAAGTATTTACATGGTATAGTACCAGACCTACACACAGTGAACCAGTTTAAAGGGGGAGAAAAAGCCTAAGTGAAATTTACAAAGGCATTCGATCAGGATAAAGAAACAATGCAACTATTTTAAGTCTCCTGCCAGAAGGGGTGGAGTACTTTAAACAAGTTTCACTTACACAGCATTTTTTCTCCTCCTTTGAAATACGTTCTAAAAAAAAGTGTCACAATTAACATATTGTATACATTTTTCAAGGTTTTCAAAGATTAAGAACTGCTTCTGGAAAGACTCACTCCAATTTGGCAAATAATTATAGCACACATTACACCAAGGTGCATTAATGTTTGACATCTGTGAGGGTACAGAAACATGTACTTACACAGAGTTATCAATCAGCAAAACAAAGTCAGATATAATTTTAAATGAGGGCAAGAAAGAAAAAGCAAAAAAGAAAGCAAGGGGAAGGACAAGAAGTCTAAGTGGCAGAAAACATTACAACAGCCAAGTGGAAACAAATGAGATATTATAGCTGGGGTGCAGTCACAGGACTGTGTGTAACTCTGTTACAGCTAAACACCAAGAGCTTCTGGTGAAACTAGTTCTGTGTGTCACTTTAGGGAAAGTATAAAGAAGCATATTCAAAAGACAACAAGCACAAAGAAAACACAGTCATGACTGTTGACAATAGCGAATTCTGTACTGAATGTGTGAAGGAGACATGAGTGAGACAAAATAGAATCAGCCCCACTTTGCCTGGGATTTTTGTAGTGACACAAGCCAAGCAATCTAAACAGAAAATGTCTGTGCTAGGAAAGGAAGATATAAAACACCACAGAAACAAACTGCTTTCCTCATGGAAGAATGGTAACTTTGGACAACATTTGGCACTGCAAGTTCAAAGGGCTATTTCATCTGCATTGTAAGTACAGACCCAGAGATTTTACAGTATTCCTGTCTCCATGCTATTGTTTTCTGTGCCATTAATGGCACTTAAATTATAGACCTGCTGCAGCCATGTAGTCAAAACACCACATCACCCGATGAGACACTGTATTATAATGTCACTGTGTCTGTGTTTTAGCTGTGCTTTCATATACTCCACTTCTCTTCAATCACCCTTTTTCTCTGCCAAAGAATAGGTATAAGAGACAAGTCTATCTTTAGCACCACAAAAATTTCTTACTCAGGCAGCTGCAACACTTCATTCATCACATATCCAAGTCTCCTGTTTACAGCAATAAAATTTTTAGATGTACAAATAGTACGGAGGCGGATAAAAAAGTCATGGAGAATTTAAAATTAAAATACAGGATATGGCTAGGGAGTTAAAAATAATATGCTTCAAAGCAAAGTATTTTCTAAACTACATCAGGTGGGATTTCTTGTTTCTTTTGGGTAATTTTGAGTATTAGGTATTTTTTGTATTTACTTTTAGTAAAGTATTCCATATTTACTGACATACGGTTTCCCAGAAACATAATATTGTATGTATTGACCTTTACATACAGTAATTCACAATGACAAATATTGATTAAATAACAACTTATTCTTTGACATCATCTTAAAAGAAAATATACTGACATTTCTAAACAGTTGCATGACAAATCTGAAACCTTTCTTTTTCTAAATTTTACTACTGAACTGGTCATAGCAAGTCACTAAAGAGCAAGGTACCAAATTCAGAATTTCCACCAGCATTTAAAACTTTTTCAATCTCAAAAGCCTCAAGGAAGTTATTTCAAAGTCACAAAACTATGTATGGTGGGACATCTGCTCCTATAAGTGATTGTGATATAAGTGATTGCACATCCTATGGTGTGCTGATTGTATCTTTCAAATG